TTTTGTAAAATAAATTTTTTTGATAGGGAGGTTTTTGTAATTTTCCAAATCACAGAGGGCAATCACTACAAAAAAAGTGGGCTTAAAAGACGGAAGCATTTGCGATGGCACACTTGCCGTCGCAAAAAGTCAACTTGTTGTCGCGAAAAATGTGAGTTTTTGTGACGGCACAATTTGCTTTCGCGGAATATTTGTGACAGCAGAAAATGCTGTAGCGAAAAAAAAGAGAGTATTTACGACGACAGAGATTGCTGTCACGAAAAAATAAAGTTTTTGTGACGGCACCAACTGCAATAGTAAAAAAAAGAAATGAGTTTTTTGCGACTGTAATAGGTACCGTTGCAAAAAAAAAAAATATTGTGGCTTTGAGATTGCTTCATATATATACAGTCACAAAATGGTTTGAATAAATGCAATGGTATTTTTCTGTCGCAAAAAAAAAAAAAAAAAAAAAAAAATTTGACGTCGTCTTACTCTTTTGATATAACATTTCCCTTTTCACCTATTTTTTAATCTTCCTGTCTCTCTATCTTTGTCTCTATCTCTATCTCTATCTCCATCTCTCTTCTCTTTCTCTCTCTCACTCATCACTCTTCTCTGTCTGTCTGTCTGTCTGTATGTCTCTCTTTCTCTTTCTCTCTCTGTCTCTCGTTCATCTCTCTTTTCTCTATCTCTCTCTGTCTCTCTTGCTTATCTCTCTTCTCTCTATCTCGCTCATCTTTCTTCTCTTTCTCTCCGTCTCGCTCATCTCTCTTCTGTCTATCTCTCTCTCTACCTCTTTCGTTCATCTCTCTGCTCTCTTTGTCTCTCTCTTTTTCTATGTCTCTCCCTCGTTAATCTCTTTTCACTTTATTTCTCTCTCGCTCTCTCTCTCTCTCTCTCTCTTTGTTTATCTCTTGTTCATCTCTTGTTTCTCTCTCTTTTTCTATCTCTATCTCTTTCTCTTTCTGTCTTTGTGTCTCTCTCTCTCTCTCTCTCACTCATCACTCTTCTCTCTCTCTATCTGCCTATCTGTTTGTCTGTCTGTCTGTCTGTCTCTCTCTCCCCCACTGTATTTGCCTTGCTCACTCTCTCTCTGCCTTCTTCTCTACTTACCGAGCTCCTTCTCGACTTATCGATCCACTGCAATAAAATGCACTTTTAGCGACCACTTTGTCTCTCTCTCGCTACTACTCCATTACCGTTGTCACTCTATCACTACTATCACTACTACCACCACCTATCTTCCATCACCATCATCACCACTCTACCACTGCCACCAGTAACTCTCTTCCACCACTACTACCACTGCCGTCGCTTTATCACTACCGCTATCAACTTTACACCACCACCACTACTACTTCACTACCACCATTACCACCACTGCTATTACTCTACCACTGTCGCCACCGCCCTCGGCACTGCATCACCACCACTACCATCATTACCTCTCCACTACTTACACCACCACCACCAGTACCATTGCCCCACCATTACCATTACCACTACCACCGCTACCGCTACCATTTTTCTTCCACCACCACTGCCTTACTTTACCACTACCGTTGCCGTCACTCCAGTTCCACTGCCGCCTCTCCACTACCACCACCACTCCTCCACCACCACCACTTGCACTCTATCTCCACCGAACCCATTAAACCCAATTATTAAATAGGTGAGTTTGAATCGATTTCGTTTAGTTTTAGTTTTTGAAAACTATTTTTCAAGTTTCAATCCTTATTTTTTTTAATTTTTAGTGAACTTTTTTAATATTTAAATTATTTTTTAATTGATTAAAATATATTCTAACTGATTAAAATATTGAAAAATCTCACTAAATATAAAAAAAATACTAATTACAAACTCAAAAAATAATTTTCAAAAATTGAAATAAATTTTTAATACAAAACCTATTTTGACTCATTCAGACTCTCCTGTTTGCCACGTTTGGGGGAAGAAAAAAAAAACTAACAAATTATTCCTAAAATTCTTTCTTCCCTATTTCTTTTTCTCAATTGCGCTTATTTCTCTCTCCCTCTCAATTGTTTTGTATTTTTTTTCCCCTTTGATTTTCAGCCTCGTTTCTTCTCTCTCATTTGTTGCATAACCCTAACCCAACTCATCTTTGAGAGAGATGCGGAGTCGAAACGACGTGGAGACGAAGGCGATGTGACTCCGGCAGCTAGGCGAGGGGAGGCAGTAGCGAGGTGATTAAGGCCGAAATGTACGTCATTGAGGCCGTTAATTAGAATCTCTTAACTTCACTTGCTGGTCAAACTGTATATTTTATGTGTGTTGAGTGTCAATCTGGTTGTACATCGTTGGAGCATAAAATGAGCAAAAAGACAGAATTTGGGCAGAGTTGACTTTCCCGCACGTGCATTGACTTTTTCCGCACGTGCGTTGACTTTTTTTGGGAAAGTCAAACCAACGTTTTAAACCTGTTTAGACGAGATTGGAAGTATAAAAAGGCAAGTAAAAGGTTGGATTAGGGTTCTGAAATTGTTTGGACCTAAAGAGAGAGGCTAGGGTTTGAAAAAGAGGAGGAAACAAAAGCTCCAAGATGTCTCCAATGGTGGTTCCTTCTCCTTCTGCCTCCTTCCACTCCTCCATGAGTGGCTAGTCTTCTTTTCTAGGGTTTTGAAGAAACCCTAGCCATGTTATAGGTTTTTCTTTTTTTTTTGATTTTATATTATGTAAAGGTTTGAACCATTGTATGGTGTTTTAGAAATTCTTTATATATAATTTTCATTATGGTCTTCTTTTCTAGGGTTTTGATGAAACCCTAGCCATGTAATTATGTAGTTTTCTTTTTTGATTTTATATTATGTAAGGTTTGAACCATTGTATGGTGTTTTAGAAATTCTTTATATATAATTTTCATTATCTTTTCAAATATTTGACTTTCTGTGATTGTTGAATATTATCCATACATGAGTTTTCTATTCCTTCACATTCAAAGTATGGGATGAACCATGCTACGAGGAACGAGTCGTATCACTACCCTAGTTTAGAGTGAACGAGTCGTATTGCTTGAGATGGTTCGTGCTCGTACATTGAATGTGATAATCTTCTTGTTAAATACTCTGAGCTTGTAGTTGTGAAGCATTAATTCGTTCAAACCATAGCATAATTAATTTCAATTGGAAACCCTAATTATGTGGTTAGTGGTGAATTCTCTACCCTAGGATTTTTCCCCAATTTAGTAAATCCAATTTCATTTAATATTGATAATTTAATTCCTTAGTTTAATTTACTCGTTATTAAATTAGGTTATAAACAACCAATCTTTTTATCAAAATTAATTTAGGAATTTAACAATTAAATTAGTTTAATTTCACAATAGTCCCAGGAGAGTTGTCTGTGTTTGTGATTTTAGTACACCCAGCACATGTCCTCCCTCGTGCTGTCTTCCGTCACTTTACTAGCTTTGACGAGCGAGCACCCGGGGATCTGCTTCTCCGAGAGCCGGAGCATCACCTCTCTCATGAGGCCCGAGAGGTATTTACTTCATTTTCTGTATTTTTCGTACATTTCGCACCTTTGCCATGCTTGAACATGCAGTTTAGCTTATGACATAGTACTTTGCTTGCATCCTGAACATGTAGTTTCAACACTCGAATTTCTGAACACTCGGCTCATTAATTAATTGCGAACACACAGCCCAGAGGTGAACACACGGCTCAAACACTGATTTGTCGAACACACAGCCCGAATTCGAAAGTGAACACACAGCCCACACTTTACATTTTCTGAACACACAGCCCATATTAGATAGTGAACACGCAGCCCACAATTTAACTGAAATTTGAACACGCAGCCCAAATTCGAAAGTGAACACACAGCCCACACTTCAATTTCTTGACTATGTATGAGCCCAAAATGCAGCCCAGATTAGATAGTGAACACGCAGCCCAAACTTCAAATTTTCTGAACACGCAGACCAGATTAGATAGTGAACACGCAGCCCACAATTTAACTGAAAGTTGAACACGCAGCCCAAACTTCAAATTTTCTGAACACACAGCCCAGATTAGATAGTGAACACGGAGCCCACACTAGAATTTGCATGTAGCTTATTTCACTTCATCGGCATACAGCCCATTTCATCTCATTGGCACACAGCCCTCTCATTTCATTGGCACACAGCCCATTCATTTCATTGGCACACAGCCCTCTCATTTCATTGGCACACAGCCCATTTATTTCATTATTGACACATGTATTCATTCTGAATGCAAGTTGGTTCCCGCAGTGTGCGGGGATATGGTTCCACCATTGCGCGGGATTGGTATGCCGAGCTCCTGGAGGGTGTTCGAGACTTAGTTGACTTGGCAGGGTTCGGGCCCTTCTGCGTCGCGTTGTTACGTTGTCCTGCCAGGAGGACGCTGATGGCAGCCTTGGTAGAGAGATGGTGGGACACCACCAACTCCTTCCATTTCTCTGCTACCAGGGATATGACCATGACCCCTTTTGACTTCGCTGTATTGACCGGTTTAGACGTCGGAGGTTGGTCCATCCCTTACGATAAGGATATGGGCGAGTGGGAGGCCGCCTGGATGTATTTATTGGGGGCTCGCCCACCTGTTGATAGGGTCTCTGGGAGAGTCCGATACACTTGGTTCTCCTCCCACTTCCGACGGGCGGAGATGGTGCCTGAGAGTCCCGAGGAGACGGAGCAGTATGCTCGTGGCTTCTTGATGTTCCTCTTCGGGACTACCCTATTCACCGACAGAGGGAACACAGTTGGGCTATATTTGCTGAGCGCTCTAGTTGACCTATCACAGGTCCATCGATATGATTGGGGTGGCGCCAGCCTGGCTACCCTTTACTTTTATATGAGCGCGACCTCCCGCGGGCGGGGCGACTTACTTGGCGGCTACTGGAGAGCCTGGGAGGTACTTTCTGTCCCCTTGATTTACATTTCTGCTTCTCATTACTTGTACATTGCACACACACAGCGCACTTTTACAGTCTGCATTTTGCTCTCAGCATTTCGTACTTACATTCTGCATTGCTTTTCTCAGCTATGGGTCTATGTATACTTCCCATCATTAGCCCCAGAGCTGGAGGTGGTAGGGATTCCCATGACCCCATATTCATTGGCGTTCGAGGGCCCACACCGGTCGAGGCCTCGAGAGACCCTCCTTCGCCTGCGATAGTATTTTGACACTGTGCGACATTCAGAGGTACCTCAGAACTTTCAATTCCTTTCATTCTCATCTTTAATTTGCTCTGTATATTCTCGATTTCTGATTGGTTTATGCATTTATCATCCGCAGATTACATGGCAACCCTGGGTGTCCCTGGGTGACGGCCTCCGACTCAGATGGTGATGATGGTGCGAAGATTGTCCCGCAGAAGAGGATGAGGAGTGCTTCTCGTTCCCGTTCCCGAGGACTTTGATGTTGCTATTTCCTGCTTTATTTTTCTTTTTGCTAGTAGTTTGTAGCACTTTGCACATTGTTAGGCAGCTTTATTTTTTTGTAAAACTTGTACCTTTGTTGTAAAGCATGATGAAATGAAATAGCTTTTGAAAAATCATTAGCCCTAGAGTTGGAGGTGGCGGGGATTCTCATGACCCCATATTCATTGGTGTTCGAGGGCCCGCACCGGCCGAGACCTCGAGAGACCCTCCTTAACCTGCGACAGTACTTCGACACTGTGCGACATTCAGAGGTACCTCAGAACTTTCAGTTCCTTTCATTCTCATCTTTGATTTGCTCTTATATTCTCAATTTCTGATTGGTTTATGCATTTCTCATCCGCAGATCACATGGCAGCCCTGGGTGTCCCTGGGTGATGGTCTCCGACTTCAGTATACCGGAGCATCGGACATCTCCTAGTATAGGGTCCTGCTTGAAGGGCCGGTTGGCAGGGCATGGTTCCTGGGGGAGCGCTTTCTGCGCCAGGTATGCGGGTATCTTTCTCAGGATATTCCCGCAGTACCCCCAGCCGGTATGCGGACCGCTGACAGACTCTCTTACTCAGAGGTAGTCGGCGCCATGCTGGGTACTGATGCTTTACTGCATGTTGAGGAGGGGGACTACGCCACTTACCGTCACATATATTTGATGCCTCCATTGACGGAAGCTCGTATCCCGATGATGAGGCCTGCCGGTATGTCATCCTCGGACCAGGCTCGTGCTCGGGCTGCAGACGCCCCTTCTACTAGCAGGGCCGGTACATCTAGAGGTGGGAGCAGACCAGTCCCTCCGGCTCCGTCGGTTCATCCTCATCCTGGATGGCCAGATATGCCTACTGAGTTGATGGCGTGGCAGTATGGGGCTAGCTTTCTGACTCCGATTCCACTAGAGCCTCCGATGCCTAGTGATCGATACGCCATTGATCCGGACTCACCGCCGGTATGCTCCACTTCTTTTCATTCATCATTCAGATGTTTAGACACTCTTCTGTTCACTGATGATTATGAGCTCATTTTTGCAGCCATCGCGAGGGTACATGGAGGAGGTGGTTGGACTGGTGGCCACACTCGAAGGCATGGTCCTGCGTAGGGAGGCACAGTTGTCTGTTGCGGGCATTCAGGTACCCTTTAGTTTTCTAGCGTTTATCATACTTCTGATGACATGGTGATTTCTACTGCATCGATAGACCACTTGTGTAGAGCACATCTGACACACACCCCACTTGGACACTGCA